TTAACCTCGTCACTACTTCGTCGAGGTTAGGCTCAGCACTTACCAGTACATGGGGTCGGTTGTTCTAATACTACACTCTGCACTTCTTGTGCAGATTTTGGAGTTGGTTCCAGCGGCGTGCCATAGTTTTGCTCGGATTTCAGCTACTCTGAGGAGACTTGAGGTATAACTACATGGCGTCCGCAGTTCTGAAGTCCCCGTCTATTTCACTTTAGTTGTGTGTTTATTTTCAGACAGTTTTACTTTATTCAGACCTTTATTTGTATTTATTCTAGAAGCTCGTGCACTTGTGACACCAATTCTGAGATGGTATTTAGACACCGTTGTTTGATGGATTATTTCACTATATTTCAAACTTTGCTTCCGCATTTGTTTCCTTGTTATTAATACATTTAAAAATTGTTTTAAAATGGATAATATTATTCTAACGTTGGCTTGCCGAGCAAGTGAAATGCTAGGCGCCATCACGGTCCGAATGTGAGAATTTTGGGTCGTGACAGCTTATTTTGAAAAACGTTTTTTTCAAAAGTACTTTTGATAAGTAGTTTAGGTTTGACTCATTAATTTGAAAAGCACTTTTGAGCAACAATTAGTGTTTGGCCAAACTTTTAAAAAAGTGTTTTTAAGTGTATTTTTCTCAAAAATATTTTTCAAAAAAGTATTTTTTGAGAGAAACTATTTTTTCTGTTTCTCTAAAACTGCTTATGCCTCTACTCAAAAGCACTTTCTTTACTTCATAAAACTTGGCCAAGCACCTTAATTTTGATAAAAAAAAATAATTTTGACTAAAAAGAATACTTTTGGCCACAAAAGAAACTTGGCCAAACTTGCTATATAAGTGTGGTTGAACAACACCAGATGAATTGCGCCTTGGGTAGTTTTAATTTTGACAACAAGCTCCCGAGTCCGGATGAATCAAAATTCCAGGTCATATTCTAATATACTTTTTCCTGTCCCATTTTATGAGCTATACATTTAAGTTTTAGCAAGTCCAAAAAGAATATTATACTTCTTTATCTAACCTTATTAAGATGATTTATCATCACACAAATGACTGGCTTATTTTAAATCACAAGGTTAAAGATCTTCCTTTCTTTCTTAAATTTCGTTCCGAGACAAATACTTTCACATAAATTAGGACGGAGGGAATAACATATAGAGTCTGTCTAATGAGATGGTTGGATTGTTTAAATTTTAAAATATAAAAAGGAAAGGAAAAGGAAAAAGAGCTGATTAGTAGAAAGGGAAGTTTTCACAAGTACACCAATGGGAAGCATAAATTGCAAACAGAAAACATGAAAATAACAAAAATGTACCATATGTTGGGCATTAGTAGGAGTAGATCAATCGAAGAAGGTTATAAAGCATAACTGGGACAGTCAAAATGTAAAATACACCGCCAGCATAATAACTGCAAGCTAATTCATGGGAACTCCTAGGCATGAAATATAGACATACAGCATACTGAAAACAGAAAGCAGCATTATCCTTCTTTTCCCTTTAACTTTTTAGGGGATTCATATAACAGGATCTCCAAAATGGATTACGAAACTATAACAAACGCAAGTAAAGATCTTGCACTTGATAACTACTACATTACTTGCTCCATCCTTTCGATCTCTACAGCTAAATACTGTTACGTGCAATTTACTGTGACAAGCCGACAATCTCATCTGCTGCTGGATCAATCAACCATAGGCACATTAGTAGTGTTGTGGGCGTTTCATTTTGAGGAGATGAGAAATACCAGCCACAACATGCAGTCGGCTGCTGGGAACACCCGTCTTAGCAAGTGCCCTCCCGTATTTGTCCAGTAGAACAAAGCAAGGGACATACTTTATGTCATAATGGAGAAGCTGAATTTGCAAACAGAAAGAAGTCAATCAAGCTGGGAAGTTAATCATTTCCAGCATGAAGTATATTGATTACTCCAAAGGCAATACGCAAACTGACTGGACCAATCAAATAGCAGAAACAATTCTTCTTTGATTTAATTACTTCATCTAGACTTCCCCTCCTTTTTAAACTTTTTAAAAGTGTAGTTTAACTTAGCTATCACCAGAGAGTGTACTTTTAATTATATAAGTCAACTTAGCAGTCGCCACAGAGTAACCAATCTCAACACAATAGAAGGTGCTAAGGATTCTGCAATGCTTTTAGGCTCCACTGAGAATGAAAGCTATGAGTTGTTACACTGAAAAAACTTCAAAAGACACAGATCTACCAAATTTAAAGTATAAACAAAGTAAGCTAATCTGTAAAAAGACTTTCCGTCTATTACCTAGCAAATTGAAGGATGAGAATTTAACTTCAATCCTTTGCTGATAATATATTGCAGTTTTACATCACAATACTGAAAGATATGTTGTCTAAACAATTTATTAGACCAATGCTATGCCCAGAATGCAGTCTCCGTCTATCCCAATCAACTGATTCATGAATGTAACTTAACATAGTTATGATATTTTGATACATGGTAGAAGAATCCAATACTCAGTACCGAGTGCATTCAACACATGTCTAGTTTTGAATTAACAATTTTCAAGATTATCAAGTATCAGTACAAAAATAATCTTCAATAAAGAAAGAAGAAAAGAACCATATCAACAACCAAACAACAAAGGATGAGGCCCCTCTCAATTCTTGGAGTATGCAAAATCTAATACACATCCATCCAACAACTAAATATTACTAAACAGCCTTGCGAAAAATGTGAGAATATACAATGTATAGAGTATTAAGAGTACCTCAGGCAACCATTGATCATTCTCTGCATCAGCCATAACAATGTTGAGCCACTCAGAGTTCCTATTCTCAACCTCGTTAACGAAATTAACCAAAGAATTGCAGAGCCGGCACTTGGGGGAGTAAAATTCAATTACAGTACCCTCCTTTCCACTGGCCAAGGCAGACGCTAACGCACTCTGCTCGGCCTCTGCTTGGTCTGCAGGAGTCAATTTCTTCATCAACTTCAAGGTAGTGTTTTGGCCGACTCCACCATTCGACTGGAAATGTAATTCGGGTGATAAAGGTTGGGGTTTTGATATATTTTGGATGAAATTAAACACTCCAGAGCCAATATTCTTGAATGGTTTGAATAGCCAGGGTGTTTCAAACGTACATGGCAGAGGGGTTTTAGGGTTTTGGTTATGGACATCCCATGGCCATTTTAAGCAAAAGGGAGAGTACTTGGATGTAGAATCCATATATTCCAAGAATTACACGTATTCACATCACAATAACAAGCTAACTTTCTTCATTTGCAAGGCATTGCAGCAGGAACAAGCACCTACTTTGTGCTGCAACAACAGGATAAGCAGCATGAACACACATAATCTGAAAAAATAATAAGACAGGTTATACCTACTAACTTGACAAATGACATATTAGTCGTTATACCGTTTGTTGTAGCAAGATAATTTAAAGGTCAAAATTATGAAATTTGACCATCAAAATGACCTACCTTAGGGGCCATTTCGCTAATGGTTTGGAATAAGTAATCCTAGCATAAAATCCCACATACGATAATGTCGTGTAAGAAAAAAATCATCACCACATAACTAATACAGCGTTTTGTTTGGCGGTATTAGATAATACATACATTAAGTTATGCGGAAATCTATGTCCTATTTTATGCTTGATAGAACGTGGAATATGAATTCATGTATTAGTAAAGCGGTGATTAAACAATTTAAAGATAAAAATGACCTTTTAAAGTAATTAATTCATGTATAACAATCTCCTTGTTATTAATCACTGCATAATAGTTCTTTCATTACTAATCCAACAAAAAGACTATGCATTATAATCACTGTATAACGAGTATGTGAACCAACTCTGATGTGACTATGCTTTTCTTGAGCCAAGGGCCTACCGGAAACAGTCTTTCTACCTTCACAAAGTAGGGGTAAGGTCTGCATACACACTACCCTCCCCAGACAACAATTGTGGGATTACACTGGGTTTGTTGTTGTTGTATAATGAGTATGTGAACCAGACGACCCCTAATTCAATGTCTTTGCTACAAAGCTTAATCCAATGTCGGCTCAAGGGTAAGGCATCCCAAGCAATTGTTTTAGGCCCCCAAAGTTTAGGGGCCCTATTTTTTACTAGTAGTACATTTTAAGAATTATTATCTTTTTAAAAAATTAAATATTTTAAAGTAAAAAATAATTTTTTAATAGAAAAAAAAAGAAGAAGAAAACTTTGATTTGTTACTGATGTCGACCATAGAGATTTGAATAATCTGAAGCGTGAAAAGTATCTATAATTTTTGTTTAGTGGAAAATTTTGAAATCACTAGGTGATAAGAATCTGAGAAAAGTCACTCTGATGGATAGTTTAGACTTATTTTTCGAATTAAAGCATTAAAGGAAATACTATAAGAAGAAAATAATACTATAATCGATATAATCAATCAGCTAACAAGACTTGAAAAAGTAAGACTTGATTCTTTTTCAAATACCTATATTCCTTATCGAATAATGCTCCTATAACAGTTGCATTTGTGGGAAGAAGTTTATTAAATTTTAATATAACACAATCTTACCTAGGATCAACAATATCTCAAAAGACATTTAAATAGATTAGCTATATTATCAAGCGAAAAAGAATTATTAGAATACCTTGATTATAAACAAAATATTAATAATTTTGTGTCTAAAAAGTAAGGAAATAGTGGAAGAGAAGTAATGCATACATACATGGAGAGGCCGTAACGATTAGTCGAGTAATTTATCAGGTATCATCTACTCTCCAATCGTTTGTGAAATTCAAAAAACCAGGATTGTAGAATGTGCCACATAAATGACCTGACCTGCTGCTAATGTTGGAGCAATATACACCAAGATTAAAGGTGACCAACGTCTTGTGGGAATTTCCTACACAAGGCTGGGTGAAAGTTAATACAGATGGGGCATCAAGGGAAAATTCGGGAAAGAGTTCTTTTCGTTTTGTGTTGAGAGATGAATATGGTGATGTCCTACATGCACAAGGAAAGGAGATACGTGAGGGTACTAACACTGAAGCTGAAGCTGTGGCTATTTTAGAAGCATTGAAGTAGTGTGTGCAACGTGTTGTTGAAGAATGTGGTGGAGGGAATTTGGTATGTGCCATGGATAATTGCAACACATGTAGAGGAGATCAAAGACATTATTGGAAGACACAACATAAGGATATTGCATATTATGAGAGAGGGAAATAAACTGGCAGACTACTTAGCCAACTACGCACTGGATAGAGGTAATTTTGAGGCTGACTGTTTCTTACATTTGGAGATACAAGGACGAAGATTGGTGAATGATGATAAATTACAATGTCCTTATTTGAGAGTGAAGGTTGCGAGGAAATAAAAGGAATGGATGATAGGCATACAACGAGAAGAGGAAGCAGCCATGATCATCATCCTCAAATCTGCCCAGAGGAGAGGATAATGACTCTGTTCATTGTTCACTAACACTTTTTGCTTTTTTGCACGAAACATTACAGTATCCATGCCTTATCTTTTGTATACAATTAAACTGGTGGTATAAGTACTAGGTACTGATTCCATTGGAGGGGAACCAAGGATAGGCACAAGCTTACAAGCAAGGATGATTACAAAGAGGCTAGGGGCTGGAGTACTTACTGTTACCTTCAACTTTCGAAGGTTAGATTGTAAATTTAACCACCCTAGTACTCAATCCAACAGGCTGCAGTTCAACTCCATTTATGCGAAGATAAAAACTGTCACTACAAAGAGAAGAACTGCCCAGATTTTCTCAATAAGGATTCAATGGAGATCTCGCGCAATTTTGTTTGAAAAGGCTGTTTTTGGGTCAGTGGAATCGATGTGTGTTGCGTGTGGTTTAGCAGTATTAATTGGGGATGCATGGATTCTACAAGAAAAAGCAAACATTTTGGATTACAATATCTACTGGACGGATGGCTGGACCCAAACCTGTGATCAAGGAATTCATCTGTGCAAGCCACAACACAAAAATGGCACTAGAGAACTGGAAATAAATGTTATCACTGGAGCAGATTGGTGAGTTACATGAAAGCAAAGAACTATGATACGCATAACAAATCTGGATTGAAGAGAAAATTGCGGACAATGGACTACATTTTTTGTTACTGCAATGGACATGACACATGCATAGCTGGGATTATTCTCGACATCATCTTATTATGGCTAGTTTTTATTAGTAGCTCGTCCATAGTTCAATATGTAATATCATGCTTGAGAACGCTACTCAACTATGGCAATAGGAGCTATGTAGTTTCAATGTTTATGTTGCTACACTACGTAAAATCCATGTCACTTGTAATTTTCTTTCTATATATATATAAACAACACCTAGGCACCATGCCTAGTTGATTAAAAAAAAAGAGAATATTTGTGTGTTTGAAAAATAAAATAAAAATGGCTTTAGGCCACCAACAATATTGAGCCGTCCCTGACTTAATCATTTGATAATATTTCTATCCTAATTCATTAAGTACACAGTTTAACCATTTTACACTATTTCTATACTAATTTATACATATTATCTGATATATTATCTCCGAAACCAAATACACTTTTCTGTAAACGAAGAGGGTAGAAAACAAAGCATTAGAAAAAGGGAATTAAGGTTCTTTTTTTTTTTTTGGGACTTATGAGACATAGAGGGAAAGCGAGAGAACTTACATCTGTTATCGCCGGTAAGGATTTGACCGGAGGAGCTCGCCGCTGAGGGTGGAATTTGATATTTGGTCTCGAAACTTGGGTCCGCATATGGGCCAGTTCTAGAGGAATTTTGGGCCTCTAAGTGAAACCGATTGAGCTTAAGTCCTTTTATGCAAGGTATATTTACATAAATAGCCGGTCAAATTTAATGTTTATTTTTCTAGCCAGTATAAATAAATTATACAATAAGTATATACAATTATATACATACTACATATAGATTATACATATATTTTTAATTCTTCTCTATGGAATTCGGATCCAAATTGACAATTTTGAATTGGAAATTTTTCTCATATATATATATTATATTTCAAACTTAATTATCTGGATTCTCTAAACTTTGTTATTTACCAAAGGTAACAGTATATTCTTTAGAATTTATATACATTCTAGGGACTCAATTAAGCGCCTTTAATTCAGGGATTAGCGCCTTAAATTAAAAATTTTAATTACACCCTTTTTTATTTCTCTTTCGCTGTATTTTTCATTCCGGATTCGTCGGAGGAGATCGAATAAACAAAAGAAAGGACGCCTGAGTAATTTTCTGCCCAGACACAGAGTCCTCGGAACATTTCTACGATAAGATTTGAAGGTTTTTTAACCGTCCTACTCTATTTTTTGTCGATGCTCAAGAAGAAAAGAAGATCACTTGAGGTTTCTCATAATCGGAGCTTGAAATCGTTGGCTCCGATTTGAGTTTGATGAAATTGGTTGAATTAGGCACTGAATTTGCTGATTTAGATCTCAGCGTTGAAAGTTTGGTTTGAAAATGAAAGAATCCGGCTTCAAAATCAAATAGATTGGAGAGAAATTAGCTTCAAAATCGAAAGACATCAGCTTTACGCCGGCAACCCTTTTTCTGCCTCTCTTCTTCACTCTTGTGGGGAAAACAAATTCGCTCGCCCTCATCACCACCGGCAGTGAGTTACCAGTACAACTATCATATAAATTTTGATACAAATTTAATTTATCTATAACAATATATAAATTTAAATATAAATTTCATATAACTATTAATACATTAAACAATTTATTTACAACATTCATACAAAAAAATACAACTATAATAAAATACAATTTCATATAACTATAATACATATCTACAACTATTTATAACACAGAGCATGTATAACTTAAATACAAATTTCATACACTATTGTTTACCCGAAAAACGGATAGAGTTGAATTTATACGCGATTCTAAGGGTACGTGTTATAACTTGGTACAAATCAGAAAAGTAAGTAGAAATATATCGAATATTGACCGGTAAAGAATGAAATACGAACCAATATTGAACTAGAAAACGATTTTATGAACTAGCAAGGTGAATCAATGTAAAAAGCTTACAAGAAGATAATCTCTCCTTTATATCTCTATCAATCGTGATATCTGAATATAAGAGTGTATATATGCCTTAATCTGCCCACTTTACAGAAATAGTAGTTATCTCTCTTATAGTGGAGGAATTCTACTTTATATATAATTAGAAATACATAGTGGAGATCCCATGATAGAATAATTTTTCCCTAATTCCCCCCGAGATTGTCTTTCTTTAATGCAACTGTAACGACTCTTGTCCCTTGGCTCAATCCTGATCGGACTTGGCTCGATCTTGATCAGACTTGGTATTGGTTGGTTTCCAGATTTAGAGCCCGATATTGACTTGAGCTCGATATTGACCCGGGGCCTGGTATTGACTTAGGCTCGATATTGACCCGGGGTCCCGGTATTGACTTGGGCTCGATATTGACCAGGGACCCGGTATTAACTTGGGCTCGGTATTGGTCGGTCTTTGGCTCTCAAGCTCGATAGCGCCACTTCGTATCATAGTTCGCTTTGGATTCGAGCTCGGTATTTGATCGGTCCTAGGAATTTGAGCTCGGTAACCTAGCTTCGGATCTCATACCCGATATTATGAATATGACATTCGGTCCATTATGTTCCAATCTTGACTAATCATACGAAGGTTGAAACCGGTTTTGACCGTATACAGATAGTCCCCTCGTTTCTCGAGAAGAATGTGGAGAGAAACGACATGATTTTCAAGCGGTATGACTCGATACAAACTGACGTTTTCACTGAGCCCAACCATGACGTGCATGATAGATGTCCCATAGGTTCAGTTTACCGAGGCATTAAATGCGTGTTAGACGATGGTCGGCCATTGTTGACATTGAACAGTCATTGCCAACCCTATAAATAACCCCTCTTTTTACCACTTCTTACTTTTACATCTTCAAATCTTCTAAGTTCCCTTTCGCATCTTCTGAGTTTTTCATCTGTGAATTTTGTGATTTTACTGCAAAATCCCTCTTTAGAACACCAAATCTTATCATCTTCCTCTATCTTCAATCTTTAAATCCCAATGGCGAAAACGTCAAAAACCGTTCCTCAAAAAGAAAAAGCTTTTTCTTTGCGGCCCGTCGGCGACAAAACACCGGTGGATCCACGACCTGAGG